TCTGCATATCGACGACTTCGCGCCTCGACTTTCGTTCTTCTTTGGTATTTCCATGAATTTTTATATGGTAGAAAATCACCAAAGATGCCAATTTGCGTTCATTTTTAAATACCGCTTTACTTTAAGGAAATCGCTAAATTGAGGGCTGCCAGACGACTTTGGGCGACTCTGATCAAACAGAAATTTAACCCAAAGAAAGAACTCTCTTTGAGATTGAGAACTCATTGCCAGACCAGTGGATGGTCCCTCACGGAACAGGTAACTATGCGTTGTTGGATGCTCTCCTCTCTGATAGGCGAAGCACAACTATGTCATTAGTTAAGACCGTTTACTTGACCTCAGTAGTGCTGACCACAGAATTACAAAGTTCACCTTCGCCCCATTGCCATATCGCTATAAACGAATCACTCCCGATCGTTTGCTACGTTTAATGATTTGTTTCAGGTGGGATGGATGTTTTGAGCAAACAGCCTTACAGTGATGCTGCTTACACTATCGGACAAGTACTGAGAAATCATTATTCACCAATCTATCAGTTGGAATTGAACTTTTTAATATTGGACAAATTAGAGAACGTGCGTTCCATCTTCCATGACCCGTTCTCCTTTCGGGTCGTGGAGGTGGACTCTTCAGGCACTACATTCAACGTTCCCGATCCTCTGTCAGAGTTTGAGCTTCGGCAGAAAACAGCTGGAGTCTAGAGTAGACTCTTTCCATATATTTGAACCAGGTTGATCTTCGCCGTCCCCTGGGCTTTCTGCCAGTTGGCTGGGCTAGCAGTAGTTGCTTCATCTTTCTGGAGGAATTCACAATACGTGACCAAACTATCGTATTTCTGACTTCTCAGTTTGAAGAAGAAGCAGTTGTACACCAAGGCTCGCAGATTCCTGTGTTCCGGACCATGTCGAGACGCTTAACGCCAGCGATTCGTCTCAGAAAGCCCATTTCATTTGCTTGTACCCGCTAACGATTTTTTTGCCACGACTTATGACTGTAGATGAGCATGGCGATAAAGATCGACCTGAACGAGAGCTTAGTTTTCATATTCAGCTTTGCTTGGGTCAGACTAGTTACAGTGGTTCGGGCTAATTCACGCAGAACGCCACTGGCTTCTCCAATCCGTTAGGTAGTTCATTCTTCCCATTTTCCATCATCAATAAACACGACCTTCAGGTACTTGACCTTCTCCGCCTGCCCCACTGCTTCTTCGCTTATTTGAAGGTAGCAACGGGTAGAAGAACGAAAAAGCTCTAGGCTTTTCGTTGTAGATGCGTTGATGCGCATGCCGGCCAGATCCACTCGGCTGCTGACTTTTCCAAACAGCGCTGTCAATCAGTTCAAGAAGAAGACAAAAACAACATCGTCTCCAGAAGGAAACCTTCTCATTTCGACATCTTGACATACACTCATCGCCTTGGCTGCTCCTGATTATTCTTCCATGTACTCCACAAACAAAAGGACAGGACGCAGCGTTGGCGGAGACTGAGGGTGAAAGACTTCAGTTTAATGCCATTTACTCTGATGCATAACCTGCAATCAGCATGCAGTTATTGGATAGCCCTTAGCAGCTGATCTCTCCCTATGCTCGCAGGCATGACCACAGACTGTTGCGTGGAATCCTGTCAAAGTCTTTTTCTAGGTCAGCAAAACACGTACACCGGAGGGGCGTACTTCCAAGATTTCTCAACAGTGGTCAACGGTGCTTCGACCGGGCCGAAAGCTACACTCTTCTTCTTGTATCTTGAAGTCAGTTCTTTCCGGCACCTCTTTTCTAGCACCTTTGCGTAGACTTTACCTGGGAGACTCAATAACGTAATGCCCCTATAATTAGAGCATTCCTCGTGGTCTCCCTTTTTGAATACGGGTGCAATAACTCCACTGGTGTCTTCCCCTTAGCCATTACATTTTGACGGACACGAATAAGGCAGCATATGCCTTGTTCGTCTATTACTTTGAGCATTTCAGGGCAGATTTCCTCTTTGAAGCTTTTCACAGCTTGTGTGTTTTCATGTACAGAAATAGTAATATCCTTCTTTACGGGCAAGTCTTGCTGCGTTCCGCAGAGTACTATCTCCACCGCTGAAGAATGTCCGTCTCAGTAAGAGGGTCCTTCAGTACTGCTCTTCTTTTCATCTCGGAATCGTCGCATGGTTTGGAAATTCGACTCTAGCACCTCACCTAACTTCTGCCAGAAATCACTTTGGCCTTTGCTACTGCTTTCGTTGCCGCCTCGCGTTTCTGCATACCCACACAAGTTGAAGTCTCTTTCCTTCTTAGTTATTTCTTGAATTCGGCCTTGTTCTCATTGATTGCCAGTTATGTACCTCTCGTGCCCACCAGAATGTTCTTTGATGACATCCAGTCCAAGACCTACCCGCTTAAACCCGCAACATATAATGACAGTTACCAGTACATCGCTCTTAAAGAGCTCGGTTTTCACATCAGTGATCGTCACCAGGATCTGTACAAATCGTCGTAGGATGTCGTTTGCAAGTTTTCTCTCTTTTCCACCGACGATAATGTCTCCCATTTAATTCTCTGGTTGCTTCTGCCACCAATCAGATCGTTGCATGGTGCTCCGTTTTTCATAAAATGGCGTATCACCAACAAGGTGGCGATCGATTGACAGCTATGCATCTCTGTTAACGCGAACAACATCTGTTACAGAACGCCCCAAGTCAGATGATTTGGTTATCAAATCGATCATTGAGTTCAGGTACACAAGCTTCCTTGTACTAGGTATACTGATGCACGCTACGATGTTCGTAGAACGTGTTCATAATGGACAGTCTGCACAAAACCGCAGCAATTTCATGTTTTTATTGCTGAGATTGCTGGAGCTATCATTCCAGTCACTGCTTCCCACTTTTCAGTGTCTGCTGCGATATATGTATTAAAATTGCTCGTAAGAATGAAGGACTGCGTATTTGGCACTTCTTATAGAGCACAGCACTTCCTCAAGGAAGGACTCTTATTCTCCCTCCGAATTGGGCGCACAGACAGACCTGTAACAAGGTCAACACCTTAGTCTGTTGTGGCTTCAGTCAGAGAATGGCCACCCTTCCGCTGATAAGTTTCCATTCAATGATTCAATCAGTCAGGTCTGGTTCTGCTAGAACACCAGCCCGAGTGCATGTCTTGATGTCGAACCCTTATTAGAATAACTTCCACCCGCAGAAGTTCAGGATTCCAAAGCTTTGGCGCTTTGTTGACGAGAGTCCAACTATGTCCGGTTGCGGCCTCATAAACTATCTCCTGTTTTTTTCCTCTGAGTGAAGATATATTCTAATTTGCGATTGTAAGCTCCCACTCGGGTTGTTGGAGCTTTTTCTGGCGGTTAAAATATCAATGCGCTGTCTGCCTTTCCCATTGCTGATTGATATCTTCGTTGTCGTTTCGTGGATTTTCGGTAGTAGTTGTTGGGCTGCGACGCCTCCGGCTGCTACGGCAATGAACAGATGTTGATCGCTGCCTTTTGAGACCTGCCTCAGTTCCCCAACAGCCTGTACGGCCGTTGGTACCCCGGGCGGCGACCAAGTCGGTATGATGTTCGATGACATAATACAATGAACTGCAGGAGGCTAAATATTGTGGAGATTTCGCCGCGGTGTCCAGCCCTCATTTCTCACCCGGGCTTGGGACTGGCAGCTTGTAATTTGTACTTGCTTTTGCATGATTTACATTTTTACCTGCTCGTTAAAGGATCCGTATAACAACATAATTCGAACGGTCGTTGAAGCAATGGCAGCCGTTTTTGGAGGGACGCAGTCATTACACACGAACGCATTTGACGAAGCCCTTGGTCTGCCCACCAGGTTCTCGGCCAGAATTGCCAGGAACACGCAAATCGTACTTCAGGAAGAATCTGGTATCACGAAGGTAGGTGTGGTCAGCCGTCATGCTGGTGATCGGTCGTCAGTCAGTTCTGCTGTTGAAGGTTGCAGATCCGTGGGGCGGATCTTACCTTATCGAGAACTTGACCAACGAACTGTTCGAGAAAGCGTTGAAGGTCATCGAAGAAGTGGAGGAGTATGGCGGAATGGCGAAGGCCGTCGCCAGTGGCATGCCGAAGCTTCGCATCGAAGAGTCGGCTGCCCGCAAGCAGGCGCGTATCGATTCCAACCAGGGTAACGACTAACTCGGCAGCTCTTTTGAGCTGTTTCCGACAACACGCTCGGCGACCGTCATGTTTTCAGACGTAATCGTCGGCGTAAACAAGTATAAGCTGGATCACGAAGAAAAGGTCGATGTGTTGGTTGTCGATAATACGAAAGTCCGAGAGTCACAGTGCGCCAAACTGAAGAAAATCAAAGAGACTCGCGATAACGCGAAATGTGAAGAAATCTTGAACCGAATGACTGAATGCGCCAAGGGAGACGGAAACCTGCTTGCCGTTGCTATCGATGCTGCAAGAGCCAGATGCACCCTTGGAGAAATTTCTGACGCAATGGAAAAGGTATTAATTGTGTTGAGTATGCTATCCAACTGATAGCATTGATGTGCGCTGTCGTAATATTGTTGTGTTGTATTCCTGTATGGCTTATTATTTAACTCGTAGGTTTTCGGACGCTATGCCGCTGCCACACGTTTGGTTAGTGGAGCGTACAAGTCAGAATATGCAGATGAATCAGATCTGGAGAAGGTGTCTCGAAAAGTGAAGGTAACGATGACGATACTAAGGTAAAAAGTTTTCATGGCGTGTCAATTGTTCAAGGAATTTGCCGCCGCCGAAGGTCGACAACCTCGAATATTCATCGCCAAACTGGGCCAGGACGGACATGACAGGGGTTCGAAAGTGATAGCCACCGGATTCGCCGATTTAGGATACGACGTCGATATCGGACCTTTGTTCCAAACTCCTGAGGAAGCCGCCAAACAAGCGGTTGACGCTGACGTACATATCGTTGGCGTTAGCAGCCTCGCCGCCGGTCACAAGACACTTGTGCCTGCAATCATTAAGGAATTAGAAAAGCTTGGAAGGAGGTACGTTTACTAGTATGCGCTCTTTTGTTTCACAGCATATGGTGTGTAGAACGCTTTTCCCTTGCCGCCAGATTAAAGGAGGTAGTGTAACTGACGTCTTATGTAAAATTTACTTTTTAATTTCATTACTGTGAGTCACTCTAATGTGCATGAAGAATAATTTATTTTTCATGCTTTAGTGACATTATCGTGATTGCTGGAGGTGTTATTCCTCCGCAGGATTACCAGTTCCTATACGACAATGGCTGCGCTGCTGTTTTTGGACCAGGTACTACGTTACTGTATTAACTGAGGTTCTGCAACGTTCATCGAATAAAAATTTCAGGTACACGTGTTCCGGAATGTGCTTTGATTTGTCTTGAGAAAATCATGCAACAGCGGAAAAACAGAGGTGGAAAAGCCGCTGCTGCTAATGTGTAAAACCTGGCCTTGTTGTGAAGGGACCTTCAAGTTACCGTTGTCAGCTGCTGCCGTTTTAAATGTTTAAAATGTCTTGTTATGTTTTCTCACTGGTTTTCCTTTCGTTGCTGAAAAGTAATATTTTTGTTCAGCGATGCATTCTTCATTCGTTTCGCCACCGTAGTTGTAAAATAGCAGCGAATTAAAATACGGTGAGTTTTACTGGCAATTTGCAGTTCGAAAGAATGTTCTGTTCTCAGTGAAAGTGCTGGTGTGTAACAGTGATTTGAGTATACTACCAGTGTTTGCAAGTGCAGGTTAGTACTTCGGTGATAACAGTAAATATTCATTCGGTGTTCTTCAAAGTTATCTGTATGTCATTTTTTCAAGTGTTGTCACTTGGTTATGGCAATTTCTATGAAGTTATTAGTTCAGTTGTGCGTTAAATTTCTAAATTATGCGAAGGGGATGGTCTCTTCAAAGATAACGAAAGTGATAATACAGTTTTTCTGAAGTTGACAATCGTTAGGTGATTTATTTTCTGTGTTTGTGCAATCGCTAGTTACCGCAGTTAAGTACTTTGAACACTGCATAGTTTGACAGATTTTTTTTTGCAGCTGTGTTATAGCGATCCAGCAGTTGTAATGACTGCCTGAAAGTAAGTTTGGATAACGCAAAGTAAAACATATTGGCAAGTACGGTGTTGGTAAGGGAAGTTCTAGTATATAAGATTATGATAGCTTTGGATAAGTATTTATGTTCCAATGTAGGACAGGTAAAAACTACAAGTATGTATGGACGAAAATGAGTGTTCTCGAAGATGATTCGTAGCATCAGTGAATCTAGCCTAAGCTTAAAATTTGGAATCGGAAAATGTCAGAAATGTCGCTGTATGAATCGTTATCGTCTAGTTACTTTAGCCCGCAGATCATCTGATGACGAATGCTGTACGGAACATTTCTGGCAAAACATTCGCAGATTTTCGAGAACCTATTTTGAAATTGATTTTTATAAAGAGCGCCAGTTTTCTTTAAAGACGTTTAATATGAGAGCTGGTTAGTCCCAAGGAGTAGTTCTACGCCGGACTGATGTCTCTGAATATCTGAGTTTTTCAGCAGTAACTTTCATTTAAAGAAAATCCTGTTAGAAAAGTCCTTTTATGTTTAAAGATAGAAAAAAGGATATGAAAGACAATAATCAATATTCCATTGAAAAAGCACTTGTTGTAAAACTGGAAACTGGAAGATTATTGAGAAATTCTGCATTATTGCTGAAAGCCCATTTTGAAGTTCGAATCATAAAGAAGAAATGAGATCATGTTGATCAGTCTAATTTTTCAGGAGAGGATAAGAAGTATTCGATTTTCTAACGAAGTGGAGATCATCGAACTTCCGTTTCTGGACATATATGCAGGGAAAAAGAACATTGAAAATTTGCTTATGTCAGAAGCTGAAGCGCACCGGGCGTGACGTAAACGAAAAGTTAATGACCGCACGAGTTGTTGCAGTAGAAGCAGTTATTTCGAAAAAGATAGAAATCTGAAATGCTTCAAAGTCGATCGTAAGAGCATATGGTTTACATCAGCTTAAAATAGTGCAGTTGCAGCAGAGCACAAATAAACAAATCAAAATTGTGCAACAAGACTAGTGAAACACAAGCAGCGATAGCAGACATTAAAACCTTCAGTTAAACGTGATGCCTTCTGCTACTGCAATATTTACCAGAGAAAACGATCATCCTCTGCTCTTATATTGTCCAATTTCATAAGTTTTAGTTCACTCTCGCGTATATTCTTCACACTCATTTTCTCTCCTACTTCATTGAACACGTATCCCAAAGTAGCAACGGCTTCACTTCGTGCAATTATCGTCAGCGGAATTGCCGAGAACTACACAGCATATAATCTGTCCTATCGGTGGTCAAACTTGTTGAATCGCTAGACCGCTGTGGATGTCGCTCTGGAACCTGGTCAACGATATTTCCTACGTCCAAATTAATTTTAAGAGCAAGCAAAATTTTTGATCTTTGTAAACTATAAGGTTATATGATATAAACAACAAGTAGCTATCCTATGGAAGCGTCGTCTGGAAAACACTTATTGTTTAAAACGATACTTAATAGTTTGTGAGCAATGACGCAGCGCATCAGTTTTCTTTGTCGTTCTTCAACTGATTTCTCCCATTTAGCAAGACGTTCCAGTTGTTATTGTTTATGGTTCAGATGGGCTCAATCAATACTGTAGTTTTAGCGGATAGATAACTGATTGAATTGCCCAATACAAGGAATGACCAGTCATCGGTTACAGGTAGTTGGTGAATAAAGTGGAATCAAATACTATTGAACAAAATAATAAAGTGCCAATGCCAAGTCCCTGCAAAAAATAAACACCATCGAAGTATGACCTACTTGAGTGGTTAATCTTGTTGACGAAAACAAACGACTGAGCGTGTCTATCCTGTTAATGTGGTAACAATAGTTCAAATGTAACATTTAGCAGCGGAATCAAAAGCTTCTATTCAGAGCGGCAATCCACACAATACTATGGTATACAGTCAAAACGAATCAAAATATAACGCCGATGTCATGGACTAGCTGCCACAAATGGAAAATTCTAACACCGTCATGGAGATGTGGCTTGCTTAAATGGACCCTCTAAGCGAGTAGAAGCAAAGGATAGTGTAACATTGAGGTGCAGTCGGTGTAAAGGTTTCAATCGGTCTTACATTACTGCAGTATCGGCGTAAAGTAAAGAAGAAATTATTTTCTTTACATGATAGGTTGTCGCCTTGTAAATCGGGTATTAGTATTAGAGAGAAACGGGTTATATTTCGTCACATTTTGTCAATATGTAATATACTTATTAAAATATTTGACAAAACAATATAGCAATTGCAATATAAATGATATCATGTACTTATGCATAAAAGATATACAGGCAGAATATAGAGCAATATACCTATAGATAATAGCAAAAATAATGGCAAATAAAGCTGATGTTCAGACATGCCCGTGCTTAGTTTAACTTAGAGATGTGTTCCTGCATTTTTATAAGTACAAATTAATAAATACCATAAAGTAGTGTTCTGTTTGGATGGTACCTTTTGCGAACATAAACGAGATGATGGTACATCATCGCTGTTTAAATCCGATAATAGAA